AGATCATTATAATTTTCTAGAGGAATATATCAATTTGTCGAATTATCATCAATATATTATGGCAAATTATTATGCGAATATGCTAAATTTTAAGAATCACATCACCTTGATGTTATAAGAATGTGGTTCATCCACATTCTATTTTACATTCTAATCACCCAATTGAGAGATGAGAGAGAAATATTACCATTTTCAAAATATCTAATTATTAATTTATTTTTTGTTTCTTATTTATAATTTATTTTTATTTTTGTCAATTGACAATATTATGTTTGATCACATAGTGCACACAGATAATTTTTTAGATTTAAAGTTGTGAACTTAACAAATATCTTATGTGGTTCACATTCATATAAACAATTGACATTTGTCAAGCTTTATGTGATAACAACATTTATGCATTGTATTGATGAGGTGAAATGAAATCCTTAAAAGCAAATGCTCTTATTTTGTTTTAAATAATTTCAAATATACTTCTATCCATTCCAAATAAAATTCATACTATTTAAATTCGAACATTTTGTACCAAAAATAAATCACCCACTTTATAGCACGAAATCGGATATTTATTATTAACAACACATTTTCTACGAAAAAATAAAAATGGCTATTAATTTTATCAGCTTTATACCATAAATTAATTAAGTAATTTCTAAAAGTCATTTCTACATTTTGTCCAAAATATTTTTTAGCGGTACATAAATGTTATTTATATTTTTGTATTTGGTTATCTTGTCTACGAAGAAAAAGATAATCTTGCAACTCTACTATGCCAACAAAAAGATGTATGAAAAATAACATAAGTATTAATTTATTATGTTTTACTCAATACAGGAAATATAATATAGATATAAAGATTAACGATTAATTTCCTATAATTGCTCAATCAAGCCTATATATTTAACCTAAGGATTTCGAAAGTTTCTATAATACCCACATATTTGTTTCCATAAAACTAAATTATCCTAAATTTAAATTCAACTAATAAAGGTAATAACAGTAAATAATTGACTAAAAAGATTATGTACATTAATTACATTGATTTTTATTAATTTACTATTTTTAGGTAATAATTAATGAAATTGGCGGAAAAGTGTTTCTAAAAGTGAATTATGTTAATCCTTATTATATATTAATAGATTTATTTATCAATTACAAAAGTTATCTAAAAATTCAATGCATATAAAATAATAAAAACTATTATATTATAAGATGGCCAAATAGTAAAACTAAAAAGTCTCGTTTTTAATATAAATAATAACACAGTAGTTTAAAAAGTATATAAAATTTAAATAAAAAGACGTCTCTTGTTTTTCAAAATTTTAGTATAATTTTTTTTTTTAATTAGCAGGAATGTGCTAGTTATTAATTAAAAATCAATATGTTCGACTTATTGAGTATCATGTCTCTTGTACACAGAAAATCCTTTTGCTTCTAAGATACTGTTGAATTGTACATAACAACAAATCATCTGCCTCTTAGCATACTGTTGAATTGTACATACAAACAAATCATTTGCCTGTTAACATCTAATTAATTTTTCATTGCCAGCTTCCAGTGACCCAGAAATGGTCCTTTCGCATTCTTGAACAAACATACGCACAACGATTCATTGTCCACTGAACTCATGTTCACTCATGGCAAGCGAACTAGTGTTCGCGCACGCCAATGTCAGACAAGGTTCAATGGTAACCATAAATCGAACTTAAAAGTGCCCCCATTCCACAATGCACAACGAATCACAATCAAAACCATTCGACATCATAAACAAAAACGATCACTGCACGTCAATCATTAACCATTGGAAGATAATTTATTCCAGTTTGAGAAGTTCTGTGTGACCGCACACTTCTAAAACAAAAGTTAACTCGATGCAATGTTATGTCCTAGGGATAGAGAGATATTTTTCGCCTAATCGTTAAGATCAAAACTCATCAAAATTCATTTCAACCCCCACAATTCGGGCCGCAGATCATTGTAGTTTTATACACACCAAGCACACAACATTCAGTTAGTGGAAGTATGTGATGTGATGTTATCTCCAGTTTTTTTTTTTTTTTTTTTTTTTTTTTTTTTTTTTTTCGGGGTCCAGGCAAGGATTCAGCTAACTGGTTGTTGGTGGCTCCCATACATGGGATATGGGGTGTACGGGGCTCCATACACGCTTGGGTTGTGAGGCATAGCATATCCATATCCGTCAAAGAAAGGTGGGCCATAATAGGCGCCCGTCCATTGATTTCCAAAATCAGCTCTCGACTGCAAATGGGCAAAAAACAGTAAGTGGGTAAGAATGTGTTTGCAAAGACATTATGTTTTATAAGTGATTGATTTATCTAACCATTCGAAATCAAAAGCGTTTGTGAATACAAGTCAAGCAAAGGGTTGTAAATGAATCGAATCAAAGCGAATACTAAGGGGGTGATTGTTTACAAAATATTTCACCTCAAATATTTTCAACTCAAAATCTAACTCAACCACACTATCTTTAATATTATTCATATAATTAAATAATACAAACCAATCATTCTTACACATCACATCAACTTTAATTCACTATTCATCCACTCACATAATTTTAACTACCAATCATTTCCATTCATTTATCTCCTACTTTATATCAAATCAATTTTAATCATTTTATTTTAAATATTATTTTAATATATTTTTTAAATTCCACTAATAATTGAGCACACTATTTTTTCAACTTTAACCATAGTTAACCAAAATGAAATATTTTGGATGAAATATTTTATAAACAATCATGCCCTAAAATATTCAATTCGGATTCGTTAAAATATTCGAAGATTCGAATTCGTGTTCCATTGTAAACGAACTCAATTTTTTATTCGTATTCGATTTGTTTAGAATATTCGAACATATTCAAGTCGATTTGAAATTCGTTTTCAGAAAAGTATTATAATTAAAAAAGATTATAATTGCAAAAATATTGTTTATGTTTTTCACATCCAATTTGAGAGACTTTAGGGCAAATTGGTAATTTGGGATGTTTTTTCTTTTTATTTCATAAAAATATTAGGAATATAATATATAAACAAAATGTATAAATTATATAATTTATATAATTATCGGTAACGAATCGAATATTCGATAATTTCGAATCGAATATCTACAAATTCTGATTTGATTCGTTTAACTTTGAAATATAAAACATTTATTCGTATTCGAATTCGAATCACGAATATTGAACTCGAATAAAAAAAATTGCTTTGTTTACAAGCCTAGCCAAGCATTAATTAGTCAACTGAGTGAGCTCGACGAACAAGTTGTGCAAGAGCTTTCATGATAAAAGTCAACGAAGAAGTTCCATATTCTGATTAAATTATGCAGAATGAGAATTTTCTATCACCAAAAATATGGCTTCTTCATTCCATTTTCTAGTGGTTACCAGCACTCATTAAGGGAAAGAACATACTTGTACTGACTCAGTCGTAAGTAGTCAATACAAATAGAACCGTAGGATTAGGTGTGGTTTAACCCATTGTGAAGTATGGATTCCATCCTCCGACTTATAATAAATCAAGCTTGTTAAAAATAACATTATTGAAACTAAGACAAGGCAGAAAGAATATTTGCCTGTTTGTTAGCCGGATTGCGCCCCCAAGAAAGTCGAACAGTTTGCTTTCCGATAGTTGTACCACTTAAATGGTGCAAGGCCTCCGCGGCATCATTTCTGTCAAAAAATTGTTTTTGTTTAATCAAATTGTTATTATATCTAATACCTTATACTGGAACAATAGAGGGTAACCTTTTTTTAAATATTAAATTATTTACCTGTTAGCAAATTGAACAAAACCACATCCTTTTCTGGCTGGTATCTTGACTGACAGTATTTCACCATATTGCGAGAAAGGCTGCCTGAGATCCTCGTCAGTAGCATTAGGGTCAAGTCCTCCAACAAAAATCTAAGAAAAATTCAAAGTTTAGTCGAAAGGACATCGTAAAGCAATATCATGAAGGAAAAAAACAGACTGAATAACCGACTGTTGCATTCACAGAATCTCCATCAGACCGAGAACCCAGTGCCGAGAAACCATTCGGATATCCACCTATCGGAAACAAATTTTTTATAGAAAATTAACACAAAAACCTCAACTCCAAAAACTAATGCAGCATCAATATAAATTCACAACAGGTACAAAACTATGGACCATTCTTGTTTTAAGAAGTAGCAACAAAAAGAAAAAGAATGAGCTTTACGCAATTCACATAGTTTCACAGACAACTAACACAAGCACTTTATAACTTTTGTTTTGTCTCAACCAGGCCTATTATTTCCGTTTCTCAACTGGGAAGCAAGCCCAATTCTTAACAAGACAAAAAAATACATTACATAATTCATACATAACTTCCCACAGACAAACACAAGAACACAACATAAAATTCCAAATTTCGGCAGCTAGCCCAATTACTATAACTATTATTATTATTATTATGCTTTAACATTATTTTTAATTTTCATTTTTATTTTTTGTGGTCTCTGTTTAGTTCTCAAGTTTTTTGTCAGTTTTGAACTAGGGAGCTCACCATGAGCCTTGATTCAAGAACATAAAACATAATCTAGAGTCTGGACCCTCCAAAAAAAATAGAAAATAAAAACCACCAGGCAGGGGAGGAT